CAAGACATTTTCAGTTGAATGTGGTGTGCAAAGGTTACTGTTCGAGAGCAGGAATTAGGCAAGGATCAAAAGGGGATGCTTTCTGCCTGCAGTGGAGTAGGACATTCTTTTACGCTTTTCCACTCATCACAAGGACAATCATGAAGATGATCATGAACATGACAACCATTGCATTCCATTACTGAAATTTATTCCAATACGATACATATTCCACAGTAGAATGATTGAGTACACTGATTGCAGACATTGGTCTCAAAGGAACTGACTAAATGGTGGGAGCGCACCTTTTATATAGGGGGAAGGGGGGGTGGGACTCCCGCGGAAAGTTCTAGGCTAGGCTAGAGAAATCTTCCCAGAAGAGGCACTGTGCAGGCGCAGCCCCCATATGTGTGAATGCACAGATAACCACTCAAAGAACTATAGTTACAGGTATGCAACCTGCATCTTTGCTCAGTAAGCCTCAGCTGCTTTTTCAGTTTCTAAACAGCTTGTATATTTTTTTTTTCAGCATACTTGATGATGAACCAAAACTTGTGCTCAGGACTTATGCTTATCCCCTGAATGAATGTTGATGATGTCTAAAACAACTGCTAGCCAATTATGATTACAAGGTTATGGTGTGCTCTTTGAAGTAGCACCCTACCGTTTTTTCCTGCAGGAAAGAGTAATAAGCAGCTTACTAATTTGGTTCATTAAGTTTAAAGTATTTCAAGGACTAAAGCATTAAGGTGGCTAAACAACTCCTTGACTTGGAGCTGGGAAGTCCCTTTCCTTCATTGCTGCTTGACTTACCTACAGTGGCAAAGGCATCTGAGAAACCCTCTTATGGATCATAATATTGAGCAGGTTCATATAGAAGAAGGCAGTACCTGAGCTGCTGAACTTGCAGGTCCTGTGCGCAATTTAGTGCAGTTTTTTTAAACAAGTTTTGAGTAGTAGAAATGTGAACCAATAAGACGCTGCCGGGGAGACTGGTCAAGGAAGACAGGGGAGTGATATAAAACCTATATCTTGTTGTCCCGTCTTCTTAAAGGCTGATCACCACTGCTAAAAATATGTGTGTGGAGGGGTGGTGGGGGGGGATGGCATGCTGTGGAGCTTGCAGGATTGGCCATGACTCGTAACTAGTAAAATTTGCAGGGTGGGTGAGGAGGAGGATGGTGGCAGCTGCAGTTGGCTTAGCGCAGGAATTTCCCCTTCAGGGCCCTCAGCAGCTTCTTGCCCATGGCAATCCTTGAAGCTTGGTTGTGGGTATGCTCAAATCTGTCACTGGAGACCCAAGAGACCTCAGTGACATAAAACACCTTTCTTCAACTTTTGCTGGTGATTCAACTGTAACTTTGGTAGAATTATTATCATTTGGCTTGCTTTTTCAACTATTCAACTTTTTCAACTTTTTCAACTATTATAATGTGTTGTACCTGAGACTGCTCTTGAAGATAGTTTAGAACCTGCCATAATGTAGCTACCATATCTGAGGAACAGTAATTAAGACCGCAACTCACAAAATGAAAAATCACAGCATATCAGCGCAAATGCTTTTCTTGGAAGGTTTGTGTTAGTGAACTGATTCAAATTTATGGAAGATCAAATAACTTTTTTGATATATATTTGCAAGATAGCTATTATTCAGGTTTGTGCAGGTTTGTGTCTTGCACTATGCAAAGGTGGCTAGGGCCAGTGTTAGTTACAACACAAATAGTTGTCACAGTTATTTATTTTTATGTCATTATAATAGAAAGTAATATTTTGTCCTCCAAGATGTCTGTCCTAGCAGTATCAGCAACTAAATAGGTGTTAATCAAGCAGCAAATTCATTTATTGCAACAAGACACAAACACGGGTACTTCACTAGAGTCCTTTGTGAACCTGAGTTCAAATAACTCAGATAATATAGAAACTGTCTTAGAATCCATTGGTATAAGATAAGACAGTGATCCCAAAGATTCAAGATACGTTGTAGTTCAGAGTTCAAGATTAGTTCAGCAAAGAAGTGTCTGAGATTATCTGCTCTGTAGCCACAAACATCTTTTGTCTGAACTAGGTTTTCTGCCAGGGCATAGCAACTAGATTTCCTTGTAAATCCAGTCCTACAGGAAAAATTTGCATGGAGTTGACAGCAACAACTGAGTGGATGTTTCTTTCACTTTTCATCTTTTCATATGCTAGTGTTTTCTGGAAGATAGTCTTGTTCCTGCCTTGCCCAAATCGTCCTTAGGCCCTTTATCAAAGAATCTTTCTTAAGCTGGGGCAACTTGTCTGCTTTTCCTTAAGTTAGCTCTGGTTGTAGTTGAGGAGGGGCCGCCTCCCTCTTACATCAGTGTAGAGTGAAATAAGGCAGAGATCAATTCCTAGCACCCTGGCAATCCAAAACTTGACTTGGCTCTAAATCAAATTCTTCTATCTCTGAATCAGACTGCTCCTCTGAGACTGCAGTATCAGGAGAAGGTGTGAAACAAAGAACCCAAGGTAGCTTGCATGACTTGCATATTTAATTTGTTCCCATCTATAACAGCAAAAATGACCCTCAAGTTGGCTTCCATAATTAGATTAAAATAACAAAATACATTAAAATACAACAACATAATTACAGAATAATTATAAAAGTATTCAACTTAACAGGCTCCCTTAAAAGCCAAGAAAAACAAGCCATCTTGGCTAGCAGACAGTAGTTTCTGGTCTCTACACCTCTACCCTCCCTTCTGAGAAGAGGAAGAGATAGTGGAGGTAACAAGCACAAGCTGTTGCTTTGCTAGCCTGAGGCAATTTAGCAATGTCACCCAGGTCCACAAAGTAGCTGGCTTTTATTTTCTTTTACTGAAGTGACTGCCATAAGTAGGAGTTGCAAGTTCATTTCTGTACTTATTCCCATCCCCTTCCTGAGCTTTGGAATGCACTTTGTCCCAGGGTGGGTTGGAAGCAGGTGGCAAATGACCCAACACAAAACAAGGAGAAAGGCAGTGGCGGAAGCATCAGCCAAGGCAAGCAGAAGTAAGAAGGGAAGGAAAAAGTGTTGCTTGTAGTTCTTTGCTCTTTCAGAAGCAGAGTTGTTTGTCTCACTGTCCTTGTTGATAAGTTGGGCCCTGATCCAGAATAATTTCTGTGTGTTGTAAACCAAGAGTAAGCTCAATACCATTTCTGAGCTTAACACTACAGTGTGGTCTATTCCTCAGTTGGGATGCTTTGATTCCCACATGAACTGGGCTCATTCCTAGAACGTTGCTGAAAAATTGTGAGATTTTTTTTTTAAATCCTACTGAATATGATGCACAGAGCCATATGATGCGTTATTGGACACTTGCCAATTCCCAAATCACGCTAGGAAGCACATGGAGTCTCCTAGCACCTGCTTATCTGCTTTGCAGCTGATGCAAGTTTATCTCCCTGCCCCCCCAGCAAGCAAGCAAAAAAGAGTGTTGATTCTCCACACTTTGTCCTTTCTCTCTTTAGAAGCTGGTACAGATTAGGCATAGACCAAGAGGCATATCGATGGGCAGTGGCAACAAGTGATGGAAGAGGAGGTGGTTATACTCCAAGGGCAGCATATTTTTCATAAGAAATACATAGTCATTATGCAATTAAGAGTCATGCTGAGTTACCAGGAGTGTTATTTATTTATTTGCATGTCTAAGAGTGAAACTTATGTGTTGAATAAATGTAAAGGAATGACCATCTTTTTCTCAACAAGGGCAGGTTAAGACTAGTACAGTGAGTTTAAATGATACTCCCTCTTTAATCATAGATTTCCATTAAACCAGCAGAACAGGAATGTCTATAGCAAATAGGTATTTTCTTCCTTGTTTCACAGAGAAGGATAGAGTAAGTTTGCATTATTTCTTGAGGTTGGGGGATCCTTGTCATTTGAATAGACTGCAGGTATCAAAAGAGTTTGTAAGGTTCCAATTCTGATTTCGCAAGTACTCCCAAAATAATATATTGGATTCTCTTATTTATTAAGAAATAATTACATCTGAATGGGAAATTGAAAGAACAGCTAGCAAAGAATTATGATATTCTATGTTACATTTCACTCCAAAGGGCAAAAATGCAAAAGGTGCTGTGAAAAGAACTGGCTGGGAAATTCTGGGGGATGTAGGGCATATTTCTGTTTAAACATGCAAAGGATTGCAGGCTTATTCATGGTGACATCAGAATAAAATTAATCTAAATTTTATGAAACTTGCTAAGTCCATTAGTCCAAAAAATACATATTCTTGCAGTTAAGGACCAGTTTATGTCACATATGGTAGGGATGTCAATCTGTTCAGAGCTGTTGGATGCAATAATAGTTAAAAGTTAAATGTAAGGATATGTGTAATGTCAATCCTCATATTTGTACTATTATATATATATATATAGGATATTTAGGATATTATTTAAATATATTAAATATTGTTAAAGCATATTGAGTATACATTTATTAATATCTGCTAAAATTGTATAGACCCAATGCTAGAATAGTTAAGATATTATATTGAGCTATTGCTAAAATTGATAAATTCACAGAAAATATTCATAGAAAAGAAGGTATAGAATTAAATAATGTAGCAAATCAGTGGATAGCTCTAATGGTGTATTGGAATTCACAGTATTGTTGCTGTTAGTTGTGAGGTCATATCCGACCCATCGCGACCCCATGGACAACATTCCTCCAGGCCTACCTGTCCTCCACCATCCCCTGGAGTCCACAAGCTCACACCAACTGCTTCAGTGACTCCATCTAGCCACCTCATCCTCTGCCGTCCCCTTCTTCTGTTCCCAGCATTAGGCTCTTCTTCAGGGAGTCCTTCCTTCTCATTAGGTGGCCACAGTATTTGAGCTTCATCTTCAGTATCTGGCCTTCTAAAGAGCAGTCAGGGTTGATCTGTTCTAGGACTGACCAGTTTGATCGCCTTGCGGTCCAAGGGACTCGCAGGAGTCTCCTCCAGCACCACAGTTCAAAGGCCTCAATTCTTCTGCGCTCAGCCTTAGCTGAATTAATTTATTTTATTTCATAACAGAGCTAAATAACACTGATTTGAAAGACTGTGTCAGTGATAACAGCCTTAGCAGCAATGCTAGTCTACCAAGTGTCCAAAGTTGCCGAAGACGTCGTGAAAGAAGAGTTGCAAGTTGGGCAGTTTCATTTGAAAGGCTTCTTCAGGATCCAGTTGGTATTAGATACTTCTCTGTAAGTAAATGAGAAAATGCTAAAACATATTGCTGGCTGTTTCTCTGAGGTCCCAAAGTAACCTTCGAAAAAGCGTTTGGTGGGTATTTCAGAAGCAGGGAAGAGAGGAAAGTGAGGCTGCCAACAAGGTATCTTCTTGGTACGCCAGCCTCCTTCCCTCCCCTTCCAACTTGCCTCAGGCAGCTGAAGTTAGTTGCTCTGCAGGGTGGGAGGAGCATGAAGGTACAGCACTTCTGCTCAGTGTAGGATGCCTGTAACCCCTGCACTGTGGAGAGTTATAGGCATCCCTACAGGATTGTGTCCTAACAAAAATAAAAACATGCACCATAAAACAAACTCTGAAAAGAATTTAATGGCTGGAAAATATTGTATCATTTAAATGTAACTTATTAGTTAGCACAAAATGAAAGAAGGGAGCAATAGAAATAACAGAAAGGAAGCCCCTGACCCGAGTGACTCAATATTTAAATTTTAACAGTGAGAGATGAAATAGAGGGGGAGATCAAAAAAGAGAGACCAGAATGACAATAATAAACATGAACAAATGCAGCTACACTTACTTAGTGATGGGCGAATCAGCAAAACTTGAGATTGCCAAAGTTTTTTGAATTCTGTACTAGGTAATTTATGATCAAAAACAAGCTCCAAATATGTTCCTACTTCAGCTTGATTTCAGTTAAAAGTGAAATCAGATTTAAATGGAATAACCTGAATACCTAGAATGTTTTTCAAACATCTTTTCAATACCCAAACAGTGTCCAAGACTGATATATGTCCTATGCTTCTTCTGTAGTGCTAAAGAGACTAAAGCTGAACAGCATCTAGAATATTGTAGTCAGCTTTGAATTTCTATTTGGCCATCTTTGCATGATAGCTAACAGCTGTTAAAAGTTTGGTTTCTCTTTCTACCTAGGAGTTTTTACGGAAGGAATTTAGTGAAGAAAATATTTTATTTTGGCAGGCCTGTGAATATTTTAACCATATATCTTCTCATGACAAACAAGAGGTAAGAGTATATGATCCTGTGCATTTGTATATTTAAAATGTCTGAGGTGATTAGTTAAGACTATAACTTAATTAAGAGTTATAATTAATTATAACTTAATCTTAATTTAGTTAAGATTATAACTAAACTTTGTTACCTTTTTATATTAAACATCAGCTGAAGCTCTCATGTTTAATGTTCTCTGAACGTTTTTGTTTTTTTGCTAGCAGGGTCCTTTGGATTGTGGCTAGATTAGGTTATGAGCCAAGCCTTCTCACTTGGAGGTTCCATTTATTTGTTTATTTAAAACTTTTGTAGACTGTCCCATTACTGAAGTCTCAGGACGGTTTAACAATACAAAATGTAAAAAAAAAAATCTTGTAAATAGGTGCATGAAGTACCTATTTACAACTGTACAACTGTAAATGTGTAAGATTCAATACAAAAAAGTTCCCTTTAGCATAGGATGAGATTCATATGTTCAGTTGTTCAGTGCTATCTTCCTTTCTCTGTGCTTAAGTCTATTTGGGGTAAGGATGTACTGATCTTGGGAAATCCAGCTTGTCTGAGTTCAACACTTTTAGGAGCAAGGTGAGTTAGGGTCCCCGTCCTCCCAATCACAGACTTCCATCTCTAAGATGGGTGAATTTTTTTAAAATAGTTAAAAAAAAATGCTTCATGAATATCATGGACCTGAATGGTAGCTCAGCAGATGAGAGGAAGCTGCCCCAGCTGGTCTAGGAACTCTGGGATACAAGCAGCCAAGCTCCCAGGGAGCAAGTGATCAGGAAGAGCAAATGGGAATTTGACAGTGGGGCTGGTCAAGGAGGGAGGCCCCTAACCATTCCATTCTTCCCCCCTCCCACAGTTCCCCCCTTTCTTTTCATCCTTGTAACATACTCCCATTTACTGGTAGTACTATGTTACTAAACTTTAGTAAAGATAGGAGATAGCACTGGATGTAACAACAGGCTCAACAAGGTAGAATAAAAAAATTGCAGAAAGAATGGACCACAAAGACTCCACAGTGGTGGTGACCTGCAACATCTGTGCAGTATTTGTTTTTCTGCCTGAGTTCAACATGACCTACACCTGCAACAAGTAGCCCTGTTAGAAGAAAAGGCAAGAGCACTAGAGCAGCAAGTGTCCACCCTCAAGGGAATAAAAGAAGATGAAAAGTTTTTAGATAGAGCAGTGGAACTGCAATAACTAAGAGAAGTGCAGAAACTAGAAGTGCAACAGCAAGCTAAGGCAGAAGAAGAGAATCCTGAGGGAAGGGGAAATTAGGAGGAAACTCCCTGGAAAAGGGTGATAGTAGGTGCCGAAGAAGCAGAAGACACTCTACACCAGTGGAAGCAGTGGAACTGTAGAACTGCTTTCAGTTACCCGAGGATGAAACTGGAGGGCAGCTTGCAGTGGAAGAACTACAAGTTATCCCATGCAATACTGAACAAGAGACTGAAGGTCAACTAAGTAATGGCAGTGATACAAAGGCTTGAAACACAAGTTAGTTGTGGGAGCCTCCCTGTTGTGTGGGATGAAAACACATTTATGTCAGGAAGCATACTTATGAGCTCACCAGGTATGCTGCCTCCCTGGGGCACAGATTAGCAATATAATGCAAAGATTGTCAAGGCTCATACAGTCCACTGACATGTATCCCTTCCTCCTTGTGCATGTGAGAACAAATGACACTATTAAGTGAAAGTCTGAAGAAATCACATCAGACTCTGAAGCTTTAGGTAGTCAAGAACTTTGTGGCCCAGATACTTTTCTCTTCACTCTTTTTCAGTTCATTGAAGAGGAATAGACAGGGAAAGAAAAATACTGCAAGTGAATGTCTGACTATGAAGGTGGTGCTGATGTGAGAGATTTAGATTCTGGGACCACCAGCTACACTTCCTAGAAGATGAACTGCTGGCAAGGAATGAGTTGTACCATATAAGGACTGGAAAGAATATGCTTGGCCACAGCATGAAGACGTTCATCAGGATGAATTTATACTGAATCCTGCCGATGGGAGAGGGGGGATACACCTGGGGGTAACAATGGGCAAAAGCTTCTGCACCACAACAGAGATCAGCCTTAACAGTGTCCAAAATAGTCTTCCAAAATGTAGGAAGAAAGCTAGAGTGGTATTCGGTGTCTATATATTATGCTTGGAGTATGGGAAAAAAAACAACATGAACCTGAACTCTTAACGCAGGAGGATGAATACAAGCTGATACGTATAACTGAAAGTTGGTGGCATATCTCCCTCGACTGAAATTCAACAACAGAGGGATATAACCTGTTCAAGAAGAACAGAAGGAACAGAAATGGAGTCACACTATATGTTGCAGATAAATATTTCTGCACAGAAATACAGGAAGTTTCCTAGCCTAATCGAAAGCATCTGGGTTAATATATAAACGGAGCAAAGAATAAAATAAACTCAGTGGTTGGAGTCTGTTAATGGCCACCCGGTCAAACAGAAGACAACAAAGAAATTTTCTAAAAGCAAATTGTCAGCATTTCAAGGAGGCATGTCCTCATTGTTATGGGTGACTTCAGTTTCCTTGATAAAATAATACAGCTGGAAGGGGCCATGAAGGCCATCAGGTCCCACCCCCTGCTGTTGCAGGACAGCAATTTACACCATCCCACTCAGTTTCTTTTTGAATGTCTCTAGTGTGGGAGAGCCCACCACCTCTCTAGGCAGCTGGTTCTTAATGTATTGCTGGTAACTTCCTCCAGCAGAAAGTAGAAATAGGAATGAGAGATAGGCTTTACTTAAGCTGATCCTAACCAGGGGAGACATAGTGGACAAAGTAAGAGCCACTAAATGTAGGCAAATATATACCATGTATTTTGAAAAAAGCAAACTAACAAATTCAGGGAATGATAAAGTCCCAAGGCAAACTACTCTAAAGGGAAAAGGATCCTAAGAATGGTGGCATATCTTTAAAAAAGAAATGCTTAAGGCACAACTACGTACAATTTCAACAGGGAAAAGAGTAGTAAACAACAGAGGAAGCCCATGTAGCTTTACAAAAAGCAAAGAGATAATCTGAGAACAAAAAGAGATATTTGTTAAAGGTGGAAGGAAAGCCAGGTTACAAAGGAAGAATATAGACAGGTCGCATGGAATTGCAGGGCCATGGACCCAGTGCTCTTCTCATGATTTCGATGGGAAATTGCAGGGAACATTGTTTATATTTGAGGATGACACAAAACTGCAGGGGATAGCTAATACCCTGGAAGACAGAAATAGGATTCAAGGTGGTTTTGATAGGTCGGAGGGCTGGGCTGAACACAACAGAATGAAATTCAATACGGAGAAATGCCAAGTTCGGCACCTAGGAGAAAGAAACCAAATGCATCATTACAAGACATCAGGATCAGGGCCTGAGTGAGCCTGCAAGTGCCTGTGGACTTGGATTGTGTTTGCTCAGATTATCATCTCCCTGACTTTGATCCTAAACTGTTAAACATATGCACCTCTTGCTTCTGGCCCACTGGATTTTGCAGGACTCCACCTTATACCTGGGACCTGATCCTGGTGTTCCAAAATTAGTTGCCCATCGTCCATGCCCCAGACCCTGCAGAAAATGGGAATACTTGGCTCAACAATACTGCAAGTGAGAAGGATCTTGGAATTGTTGTAGATCACAAGTTGAATAAGAGTCAACAATGTGATGTGGCTGCAAAAAGGGCAAATGCTATTTTAGGCTACATTAATAGAGGTATCACTTTCAAAGCCCACGAAGTACTAGTTCTCCTTTACTCTGTACTGATTAGGCCTCATCTAGAGTACTGTGTCCAGTTCTGGGCATCACAGCTGAAGAAAGATGCAGACAAGATGGAAAGGGTTCAGAGGAGGGCAACAAAGATGATCCAGCAACTGGAAACAAAGCCCTGTAAGAAGGGATTGATAGAAAATGGGCATATTTAGTCTTAAAAAGAGAAGACTGAGGGGAAATATGATCACACTCTACAAGTACTTGAAAGGATGCCACAAGGAAGAAGGCCGGGATCTCTTCTCAATCATCCCAGAGTGCAAGACACAGAATAATGGTCTTAAGCTACAGGAAGTCAGATTCTGGCTAGATATCAGAAAAAAAATTTCCAGACTGTTAGAGCAATACAACAATGGAACAAATTATTCTAAGGTATAATTAAACATCATTATAGGGAATGTCAAAGGCAGAAGAATAAAAAGAAGACCAAATAAGAGATGGCTTGACTCCAGAAAGGAACCCACCAACTCGAATTTAGAACAGCTAAGCAGGGTTGTCAATGGATAGGACGTTTTGGAGGACTTCCATTCATAGGGTCACCCTCAATTGGCAATAACTTGATGGCCCATAACAACAAGAAATTTTTGCAGCTGATGCAGTTTGCATAAATTGCAGCATTTTGTACAAACTAACACCCTAAAAACTTGTGGTCATTGCACAATTTGTGCAGATCACGCAAAGATGACATGCTTATAGGTGCCAATTTGTGCAAATTGGCAGATTACGCACAAGTTTCTTTAGCTCCTGCTGTTCTTCTTTTAAATGTGGCCCATGTTATAGACTGCAGTCCATTAGCTGGCTCAACTTGTGCCAGAGTGAGTCAGTGCTAACATAAGGCAGAATCCATGGGGCGGAATCATGAAAATCCATCTGACCTCCATGAACCTCCATTTCAGATTTCACACACAGCCTTAGCGTTCTTCCTCAGGCTCTTGCTCTAGCAAGATAAAGTCTATTCATTTAGGGATGTTCTGAGGTGCATAATCCAAGAAGTTGTCCCATTCAAATCTGCTACCACATCTTACCTACCACATGTATATTACATATACATAAAACTGAATTTTTAATTTGATACTTCTAATAGCTGCATGTTTAGTAAGTTAGAAGATGTTATTATATCAGCTAATTCCATTTGACCAAAATAATGTAAAGGATGAAGATAAAAAGGAAATAGAAGCTGCATGATAGAAGTGGGAAGTTCATATCTCTTATGCTGGTTTTAGGGGAACAGTGGGGGTCAGAACTTTTTAAAAATAGGAACTTTATCTTACAAGTGACATTGAATTTTGTATTTAATAAATAGATTCAGTAAATGCAAGCAAATTGATGCAACCCAAATCTTTATCTATCTTAGCTGGTTTCATTGCTTCTAAAATCTCATGATCATACAAGACTTCCTCACTACCCACTGTGGTATCCCTGTCTGTTCTGTTGCTGCCAGCTTCTGATGAGGCCAGTTTGTAGACTATGAGTGCCAAATGAAGTGTAACTTTAAATGCATGAATCTTTTAGAGTTGTATTTTCTCTCATTTAAATAACATGACTGGAACAATGAAATGCAGGTTTTTAAAAATTACCCCCTCAGTAGTATCAGACAAAATAGCCCTCCTTCTTCCCACACACTATTCCAAGAAAGAAGTTGCCACTGCCTTCAGTGGTACCTTCCTTCTCAGAGTAAATAGCACCTAATATTTAAAAATTAAGAGCCTTTTAAATGTAGACAAATTTCTGACATCATGTCTTGTTTGACCCTGAATTTTTTGCATGTTATCTTGCTTATCATCAAATAACAGAATTTGTGGTTTGTAGCTTTCTTTCAGAGCTCGGGAGATCTTTAATAAATTTTTATGCAGCAAAGCTACAACCCCTGTTAATATTGATAGTCAGGCACAGCTGGCAGATGATGTTCTCAATGCACCACATCCAAATATGTTCAAAGATCAACAGCTTCAGGTAATTTTGAGTGTTACTACTGAGTGTGAACATAGATTTTGGAGAGTCCATTAGAAGCATATGTGCCTTTTATTCAGACTTTTTCATAAAATGAGATACATTACAGGCTAAGGCAAGGATAACAGAAGTTGGACAAGACTGGATTTAATCTGTGTTGGGACTGAGGAGCAATTGTGCCCATCTGCTTACTTTTTCCCTTTAATTGTATATAAAGGGTATAATTGTGTGTAAAAGCAGCCACTGTGCTCCTTTGGGTTATCTGGCCATCTAATCCTGTAGAGAGTGGGAAGGAAAAAATAAGGGGAAACTAAGATATATTAAAAGGACAAGAGTGATTCATCTCTTCTGCTTAGGGCACTTCCTTGCATAGATTGAGACTCCACTTTTAAATGTGCCGAAAGTCAAAAATGAGAGCTGCCCATATAAATCAAAGGGTATATAGGTGTGATTGACCACCAGTGTGTTTCTTCCCCTATTGCACAACAATAAAAGGTGACAGTACATTCTCTCATTCAATGTTCAACAGAACCTACACTCATTCAGAATACTGAAATAGCATTCCTGTGGCCATTAGACAGCATTTAGATGGCCATAGGATTACTAGGATCCCCATTTATGAGGTCGGAAAGGCATTCTGGTCTTGTAGCCAGGGAAAGGCGCTCCAGTCCTTCTCCCTCCTGCAGCTGGAGAATAATAAACCATGTTGGCTTGTGTCAGGCATTTTGGGACATTCCGAGGGTAGTGGGGGCAGGGAGACAGGTATACTGGCAACCCACGGCCTCTTTTCCATCCACTCTGAGTCTTTCAACCCAGACAGCTGAATGAGCCATCTAGATATTTTACAGTTGAGGCGCACAATGGTGACTTTTGGCTCTTTGCTTCTTCCTTTTGCACAGGATACCTATTACCACTTCTGCTGCTGATACTACTACTACTATTATTCTCATATCTGTACTATCCATAACCAAAGCTCTCTGGGTGTTTACAGCATAGTATAAAGGAATGAAGTACAACAGATAAAAACATAAGAATTGAAAATTGATTTAGAAGAACATAAAAACAATAAAAATACAAAAAGACCCAGCTAAGAATAAAAGAGAGGCACCTAGCTAATCATGTCAGGTCCCTGAAAAGCTCTGCTGGGAGGCAAAAAGAGAATTGGATAGAGGCAATGGGGTATTGTTTCTTTGCCATCCTCACTGCCTGAATATCTCACTGATACTTCAAAATTGTTTCATTGCTCTTAGCCCTGGGTTATACCACAGAGCTGTATGAGCTCTACAACTGAGAGAGTGCTTTGGAGTGATCATGTCAATCACCTGAGTCATCTCTGCATTCCATAGAGCAGCCAGAGCTTCAACAGGAGCACCAGTCATGTCAGCTGGATACTCCCCACAGAGCTTTTTGGAAACCATCCAGATCCATTAGCTTCTGAGTGCAGACTATCTTAATGGGCCCTGCACCCTTGCAGAGTAGAAGAGCCACTGTAAGTCTAAATCTTAGCAGACAGTGATATGACCATGACAAAGGAACTGAGTCAAAGGTCCCCACACTCTGAGTGCTATCCTTATATCCAACCAAGACGTTCAAGTCTAGCATATGCCCTACTATGTGCATAGGGTCAATGACATGTTGGGACAGTCCCATGGTTGTCATGGTGACTATGAAATCCTGAACCTGCCCTGGATAGGGTGCCCTCAGCGTGATTGTTGAAGTCCTCCAGGACCAACAGCCTGGACAACTCTATCATCACATCTGAGACCACCTCAGAATGGAAAATTGTTGGGTTGTGGCCTGGGCAATACACCACCAGAATCCCCAGTCTTTCCCACTGACCCCACACAAGATGCAAACACTCCAGACTAGTCATCAGGCAGACAGGGCACCAGAGAGAGGTTGAATTCTTATAGATCACAGCTGCTGCTGCTGCCACCCTCCGCAGCCCTCCTGTCCACCCTAATACTGAACCTAGTACCCCAGTGTGTACAACTGGAAGAGACTTAACTCCTCCCTGTTCACCCAGCCAGGTCTCGGATATACATGCCAGATCAGCTGCCTTATCCATGATTAAATCCACAAAGGCAGAGCAGTAGTGAGGGGCAGCCAGAAAGACATCCTTACTCTTGTGGCATCCTGAAGGGTCATTCCAAAGTGTGCACCCCTTTGCCCTGATGGACTGTGCTGTGGCCCGGAGAAAAACTGGAAATGGAAGGCAGAGTGGGGGGGCACGTGCCATAGCAGCCGATCTTAACATGCCATGTACCAGTCCTCTTTTCCACCAAGTCCCAAACCACCTCACCAAGTCCCAGGGTGCAGAGTGCCCTGGCCAGAGTCTTCTCCAGTTCAACAACAGCAACAGCAGGCCTCCAATTGTAGAGAGTTAGGGGCATCCTGATTGGATTGTGCAGTTGCCTTCTGCTTTGTACTTATATATTACAATGGCTAAGTCACCTGACTGAAACCCATTTCTATAAACCAGTTTAATGGTAAAATGTTTATTCATTTTTATAAAGAATATATCTGTACCTATATATAGATAAAAAGAAAAAAGAGATATGTAACAAGGAAAAATAAGTCCCATTTGTATAATTGTTTTGTTAGCATTACATTGTTTTTTCAGTGATTTCCCTACCATGTTTAATTTCAAACCATGTCAGAGAGACTCTCCTGCTTTGGAAGTTCTTTAGGACATCAATATATCTGAATTCTTCAGATTCCCCATCTTCCTGATTGCTATTTAATTTTACTATGTTTTTGCTTCCTCTTAACTTTCTTCAGTATAATTCATTTGTCTCTGTAATTAATAATTAACTGAAAATGAAATTTTCAGCTGTATGGAATATATATTAATGTGATTGCCTCACAGATTTTCAACTTGATGAAGTTTGACAGCTATACACGTTTTCTGAAATCTGCACTTTACCAAGAATGTATTTTGGCAGAAGTGGAAGGTCGTCCTATTCCTGATCTACAATATGTTCCCAGCAGCCCTACTTCTAAGGACAGTTGTGGTTCTGGGTGGTCCAACGTTTCAACATCAAAAAAGGTTTTTCTTGCTGATATGATCAATCATTTACTATCTAAACACTTAACTACAATTGAGCATCTTTGTTAATCATCCGAATATATAGAAAAATTTAACTGTCTTGGTTTACTGTGCCATTTCTGGGTAGGCAGGTTTCGTGCTTGTGGAATCTAGTTTTCTTTTACTATATCCCTGAGATCCAACAAGTGTTTTCATAGTGATTCAACAAAGCTGACTTATAGTTGTAACTAAAGGAAGGGTACAGGGTACCTATGAGCACATGCTTAGCTCAGAAATTTGTTTTAGTACCAGAACTAAGCCCTCAACCTTTTCACATTGTTGTTGTTCAGTTGCAAAGTCGTGCCTGACACATTGCAACCCCATGGACAACATTCCTCCAGGTTTTCCTGTCCTTCACCATCCCCCGGAATACACCCAAGCCCACACCTACCTCTCCAGTGACCCCATCCAGCCACCTCAACCTTTGCTGTCCCCTTCTCCTTTTGCCTTCAGTTGTTCTCAGCAGAAGGGTCTTTTTCAATGAGTCCTTCCTTCTCATTAGGTGGCCAAAGTATTTGAGCTTCAGCTTTTGTACCTTCTAACGCACAGTCAGAGTTGATTTCTTTTAGGATTGACTGATTTGATCTCTTTGCAGTTCAAGAGACTCTCGGGAGTCTTCTCCAACACCACAATTCAAAAGCATCCATTCTTTGGCACTCAGCCGTCCTTATGGTCCAACGCTCACAGCCATACATTACAACCTTGTCACATACAAATACAGTGGTACCTTGGCTCACAAACTTAATCTGTTCCATGACACTGGTTGTGACCCAAATCGGTTGTGACCCAAGTCAAATTTCCCCATAAGATTCAATGTAAGTAAGGTTAATTCATTCTGGCCCCTCCGAATGTGGTTGTGAGCCAATTTTTGGTCACAAGACAAGTCAAATTTCCCCATAAGGTTCAATGTAAATAAGGTTAATTCGTTCTGTAACTATTTTTTTAAAATCAGAAAAATTTGAAACACAGTGACAAAGAACAACAAAGTAAGCAAGAACAAGAAAGTAATAAAATACAGTACAGTACAGAGGAGAACACTAACCTAGGTGGCGGGGAGGTTATTGTTTTGAGGGAGAGTCCCCCTCCATAAGGACATTGGGGAGATCTCTTTCACAGGTTTCCTCTCTTCTTTGTCTCTTAGCTGCAGGGTCAATTTTGGTGAAAAATCTGTCTAATGTCACTTGTTTTTTCCTGAGTTGCATAACCCTCCGGAAATGAGAGACCATTTTATTGTTAATCAGATTCAACACACTGTTCATTACAGTTCTGTTGGGGTGAGGCTTCTCAAAGAAATCCTGGCACTCATTCCATTTTTTCATAATGGATTATATCACATCACTGCTAACCTCCTCCGTCTTCCTCTTCCTTGGTGGAATGCTCCTCAGCAAGTGCCTTCTGCTGCTCACTGTGGAGTTCAGCAAGTTCTTCTGTTGTCAGCTCCTCCTTAGGGTCCTCAACAAGCTCCTCTATGTCTGCACCATTGACATCTGGACCCATACTCTTGCCCATGGACACAATCACCTCCACTACCTGTGTATCAGACCCTTCCGAGTCACATTCAGTGACACATTCTGGCCACAGTTTCCTCCAGGCTGAGTTTAAGGTCTGGTACGTGACATCTTTCCAGGCTTTGTCAATGAGGTTGATGCAGTGGAGGACATTGAACTGTTTCTTCCAGAATTCTTTCAGAGTCAAGGATGTCTCTTCAGTGACATTAAAACACCCACTGAAGAGCACCTTTGTGTACAACTTCTTGAAGTTGCAGATCAGTTGCTGGTCCATGGGCTGCAGAAGAGCTGTCATGTTGGTGGGGAGGAACTTGACCTTTATGAAGTCATACTAAGTGTCCATATCATCCACCAAGGCTGCAGGGTGTGCCAGGGCATTGTCCATCAGAAGAAAGCACCTTTCAGGCAGTTGATTGTCAGAAAGATATTTCTTAACGGTGGGTGCAAACACCTCGTGCAGCCATTCCATGAACAATTTCCTTGTGACCCAAGCCCTTGCATTGGCCCTCCACATGACAGGCAGTCTGGCCTTGTTCACATTTTGTTCCTTGAATGCACGAGGGGTCTGGGAATGGTACGCCAGTAGTGACTTAATCTTCAGATCGGCGCTTGCATTCGCACACAGCAAAAGGGTCAATCTGTCCTCCATAGGCTTGTGCCCCAGCAATGCCTTTTCCTCCTGCGTGATGTAGGTTGTTTGGCATCTTCTTCCAGAAGAGCCCTGTTTCATTGCAGTTGAACACTTGTTGAGCGATGTATCCTTCTGCCTTCATGAATTCAGCGAATTCTTTCTTGAAGGCTTCTGCAGCAGCCTTGTCAGAACTGGAAGCCTCACCATGTCTTATCACAATGTGGATGCCACTTCTCTTGCGGCAATTATCAAACCACCCTCTACTGGCTTTAAATTCAACACTTGTTGTACTTGTAGAGGGGTTTTTTTGCAGTAAATCACTGTGTAATTTCTTGGCTTTTTCACAGATCGTAGCTTCACTTGCCAGCTGTTTCTCATTCAACCACACTAACAAAAGTTTTTCCACCTCTTCCAGCACTTGGGTCGTCTGCTCGCTAAACAGCATTACTCCATTTGCCAGATCAGCTCCTTTGATGGCATCTTTACACTTTAAAATAGTCGAAATTGTCAGTTTCTCCATCTTGTACTCAGAAGCCAGATTAGTCACACAAATACCACACTCATGCTTTTCTACAATTTCCTTCTTCAATTCAGTGGTTATTTTCTTTGAAACCTTCTTCTTACCATTCTTGCTCTGCACGTTCCGGTCACCTTCATTACCACTCTGCACATTCATTTTACCACAGTGCTTGCTCTGCGCTTTCTTTGGAGCCATTATTCAATCAGCTTTTCAGCAAGTGACCTCAGGCCTGTCTGCCACCACGAGTGGGGAAGATGGCCACATGTGCTCAGGGTGGGGGTCAGGAAATGGCTGAGATCCCAGTCATGCTCCTGCAGGAAAGACAGGTGCAATGTAAGCCACTCCCCCGCCCACGCAACCAGCACGATCACAACCATCTCCAAACCCCCTCCACCCCGAGTGGGGAGATGGCCTCGGTCGCAGTTCCGTTCGTGCAGGGAAGGCGTGCCTGTTCAGAGGCGCGCTCCTGCAGGATAGACAGATGGAATCTCGGCAATCTCCCCCGCGGATCTGCTCTGCTGCTCCCGTTTTTCCTGCAGCAGCGCGCCTCTGATCACGCATGCCTTCCCTGCACAAACGGAACTGCGATTGTGGCCATCTCCCCACTCTGGGTGGTGGGGGAGATGGCTGGGATCCTGGTTGCCACCCAAAGTGGTGTTCATGACCCAAGTCAAAATTTTTCAGAAATTTTTGTTCGTGACCCGATTTGTTCATGGACCAAGGCGTTCATGAGCCGAGGTACCACTGTACATTTCTCTTACTTTCTCCACTTTTTCTACATTTTAGCAAGGAAAGAGAGAGAACTTTTATCTTGCTTCCCTTGTTAAGCAGTAAGAAATTGGAAAGCTTTGTTGATGTACTGCCTAGATCACAGTCCACCCTAACCCAGGCTGACTTGGCCCAGTTCAGATGTAATTGCAAATCGTAGTTTCCCACTACATAAATTTACTATACTGAGCCTCAGTCTTGAGTATTCCCATCTTTTCTTTCACACACCAGAAGAGGAAATCAAAACCATTCACTTCTGCTTTTTAAAATAAGCTCAGTTACTTATGACTGGAGTTTGTTGAAACTATAGTTACTGTAAACAAGCAGGTATCCTGAGTTTATTTTATTTATTTATTCGCATATTTATATGCCGCCTATAACTGCTAGAATGGCCTCCCTAGGTGGTTCACAGAATTAAAAAATACATAAAACGGTTAAAAGAATAAGAACATTAGACATAAAAACAGTACCAATAAAGGCCTATCAGCACTCACAAAGGGCTTAGGTATTAAAGATATATGTCTCTGCCTGGCGTCAAAAATAAAACAAAGATGGCACCAAGTGAATTTCTCTAGGAAGGGAGTTCTAGAGATGGGGGGTAGCAGTAGAAAAAAGGCCCTTTACCTATTTGCCCTGAGGGAAGGCTTTCATAGAAGTCCTCCTGAGCTGATCTTAAGGTGCAGGACGTTATATATCGGTGTTGATGGTCCATTAGATAACTGGGCCCCAGGCTGTTTAGGGCTTTGTATATTAAAACAAGCACCATGAATTGGGCCCAGGCCACAGCTGGTAACCAGTGTAATTCTTCCAAAATCAATGTTATGTGGGCTGCTAGTCACCAACCAAGTGGCCGGATTTTGTACCAGTTGCAATTGCTGGACTGTCTTCAAGGGCAGCCCCACAAAAAGCACATCACAATAATATATTTTGGAAGTTACCAGTGCCTGGGTAACTATTTTCAAGTTTCCCCTGTCTAGATAAGGACAAAGCTGGTAAATCTACTGTAGCTTTAAAAAGGCACTCCTGGACACCGAGTCTACCTGGTTTTCCAAGGACAGACTTGGGTCCAGGAGCATCCACAGACTGCAGACCTTAGAGATGTTTTCATGATGATTCAAGTGCATTACATTTATTGTGCATTTATTATTATATTGTAATATATAATGAAATAATTATACAGCTCCCCATAAGACAGAATCAGTGGGCGCTGTTAGGAGCCAGCTGCACAGCAGCGGGGTGGGCAGCGGGCTTGATCCTTATCCAGTCCATTATTGAGCCTGGGATGGCAACAGCCTCACCTGGATTAGATGTTCACTCCACAGATGTTGGTGGCAGCTGCCCTCCAAGACTCGACCTCAGTTCAGTAGAAGAATTTGATTTGTTAGCAATGTATCATTTAAAAATTATCTCACTAAAGAAATTAACTCATGCTGTTAATCAATGGACTGTTTCTTGTTTGTGGATACAGTATTGGACTGTTATGTGCTATTTCTTATATTTAGTGTATACTACTTTTTCTAAAATTGATGTAAGAGTCTATTGAGGCAATGGACATTAACTATGAATAGGATTATAAGAAATAACCGGAAGTTTAGGTGCTACTCTACATAAATTAACATATGGTCACTAGTGATTTTGAATATATATCTATATATTTCTATACTAATGGTAGTTGAGTGGAAAATCCAAGTCTGGGCGATCCTTATATGAAGATTCCGGGGATGAAGACTCTGAGAAAAAGAAGAAAGGGACCTTTTTTTCCTGGTCTAGAAGCAAGAGTTTGGGGAGATCACAGAAGAAAAAGGAGAATGGATATTGTCCCAAAGGTGAGTTTTAAATACAAACACTGACATACTTATTTATTCTGTTCTAGTGATATGGGGGTTTCTTATCTTTGAAATATCAGTCATAGCCATGTTAGAAGCTTCTTATTCATAAGTCTATATTGTTAAGAGTCACAACAGCCCATTCGAAACATAGAATTCTAAATTCTATAAACAACCTGAAACATATTTAGTGGACTACAATGGACAGAGCGTTATGTTTTGTAGACCTTGAAGCATGATTAGGTACTTATTTTAATAAACCTTAGAAGATGTATACATTGGGCATATATGAGAAAAGTCAGGTATACTAATTTAATAATTCCCAGTAAAATGGTGTTAGTAGTTATTAACTGGCATGATATTTGACTTAAAATTTTCACACAGATACCAATGGATTTTCCTACAGACATGAATCTCAAGAATCATTGTCATCAGCTGCAAGCCTAGAAATAGTAAGTTTTTTCATTTTTGGTCCTAAAAGTTGAGTGAATGCAGGTAAGCACAATCATTTGAACAGCATCAATTATATTTCCTGTGTTTAAAGTCAAAAGCTGATCAAGGTTGTTTGGAGGCTTTGCTGTATCACACTAGAAACATATAAACCAAGTGAGTCAGAAAGGGTTTCCCTGGGCAATCTAGTCTGACCTCCGGCTCCAGCCAGCTCTGCTTATGTAATCCCTAACGTGCGGTTTTCCAAGGAGTATTTCAAAGATGAATGAGAAATATACTGCTTAGTATATGCAAATCCAACAGTTAAAGGATAAGTTGTCTTCATTTTTTGTTGTGTATTATCCCAATGTAAAATAAACTGTCAATAGGAAGAATGTAGAACAAAAATCAGAAATGGAGGGTGTATTTTTGTTTCTTGGTCAGTGCCACAGCATCAAGACTGTGAAACCTGGACATTTGAGACTGGGCATGGATACTAAAGGGACCCTAGAGATGGTCACATTGGGGTTGTTTCATTTTTAAAGCACATTAATTAATTTTAATTTAAATGTAATTACATGGCTTCAGGCTGTAGTACTTCAGTCACTAGGAACAAACTTTCCTTACCAATACATAGCTTTGTAGTCAGTACAGAGTGAAACTTATCTACAAAGCTATATGTTATCTCCCTCCCTGCAATGATGGGGAAGTCGCTGCTAAGGAAGTGACATGAACAGATCATTCAAGACTGTAGGGGTGCAACAAGGGCCATACCTAGGAGATCTCAGATGGAGTTTGTCCAGGTCTGATAAATATGTAAGCTTGCTTGAAGGATTTGTTATATCAAACAAAGAACTGAACCTCTTCCAACCCATATGAAACTACATCCATTCACTACTGTGTAAAGTATTGAAGTGAGAGGGACAAAATGAAAATTTAATTTTTTATACTACCAAATCTTCCAGTAAAGAGAATGCAGCTACTTTTTACTGTATTTTAAAATGTAAAATTAATATATGTATCTCTTGCTCGCTCACTCTCTCTCTTGATAAAAATGGTTTATTCAGAAAGCAAAATGATAGTAGGAGTGGTCAAAGTTAAACATGCAGCCCATTGATTGCAATGGCAGAATATGCTTAACTCTCACTTAATCCTATGAGATTTGTAAGTGCATATTCTTGAATGAATTACCTGGCCCTTTTCAACTGAGATGTCACTGACTGTCCTGGAACTTACTGTGTTCTAGAGAAGTCAATTCCAGAACCTTCCAGAGCCCTGGAACTTGCTGAGTTCCAGCAAACTACTTTGTAACAAAAGTGCAGGGATATATAATAACTATGATTTTTTTCAAACACAATAGGGCAGAAAGAAAGAGAGAAAATCTTCATAAGAGGAGGGTGACATTAATCTTTCTCTTGAAAAGGTCCAAATGGTTTCTGTATTTCAGAGCTAATATACCTCTGACCAAAAGAGTGATAAAACGGAAAATTGAATATTTGTACAGGGGAAAAAAGGGAGAGGAATCTTCCCCGCACCCCTTGAAAATAAGAGTTTCTCACAAAATTCCAAGTGAGGTATTTAAAAGTACCAACAGAGGTTTCTACATACTTCTCATGTCTTGCTTTATGTTGGGGGTAGGGAAGGATGGACCCATAGAATCAGGTTTCAGTTTATATATACACACTTACCTAAGAATATGCTTTGAGACAGTTGGATATCTTCTGTCTAAGCATAGAATTGTGGACAAGAAATGTTTAGTAGAATGGGGAGGATTGAAAACTATCAAGCATTACTTTTTTTTCTATCCCCCCCACCCCCGTTTAAAAAGAGAAAGAAACATTATGACAAGGGATGATAGGTTGATTTCCTTGTAGTGGGGGTAGTTAACTTTGAGGTTGGTTTGGATATGAAATACATCTTTTTAAAAGAGAAAGGGGCAGTATTTTTATGTAGGGGTGGGGGTCCACATCTGATTTTCTCTGGAAATTCCTGGAAGGGAAATCCTTCAAATTCAAAGAGGGTACCTGTGATTGCAGAAGAGAAATTGATAGGGCAGGCACGTGTGTTTGTGTTTGTTAACAAAAGGGCTTTAAAAATTAGAACTTGCAATGGCATGCACAAAAATTATTAAACATCATTGTGGCAGTAGTTGCATTTTATATTTACAAAGTACCTTAAGAAACTTTATCACTACCTACATTCAGGAAGAGCAGGGAGATAAAGTGTAATTAGCAATGCTATTTGCTTCCCAGACTCTACAAGGGTTTCTATCTATGTAGAGTTCTTACCTAAATTTTAAATATTTATTTTTCAATTGACTATCTTTCTTAGCCAGACTCAGTGCAATCCAATGTGCATATTTCCTTAGGAATAAAGTTCAAGTTTGTCTTCCACAGGGAACCCATGTGCTTTTATGTCTCCATCCATTTTATATGTACAGAGTTTGGAAATGTAACCACAGGATTTGGTGTGTGGAAAAAAGGAAGCACAGGCAGCAGACTTGAAGAAGACAGTGAGCAGCCCATCATGCACTAATCCTACAAATTCTCTTAAAATCGGCAGAGAGGTGTTCAGGGAACATACAGGCTTCAGCTTCCTCCTCTTGCTTTCCACAACAATGCCCACCGTTAATTTTTGAAAGAGCCCCAGTTTCTCACACATACAATAACATTTATGCATTTCTGTATTGTCCCACAGCCGAAGCATTCTGGGAGGTATGCAGAGTCCATTAAAAGAGATAACAGTACAATAAAATATCAGAAAAATATTTATAAGTTTTAAATGGCTAAACATAAACAATAAAAACAGACAATAAAGAATAACAGAGAGAAAGAGAGAAAGAGATAGTGACTTTGCAGAACACTCGATGAACCCCCTCAAACTTCTGGGTAATGAAATCTGCAGCCCCAGACAAGAGTATAGAGAAGATTAGAACATGCAGGCATGGCCAGAAAGAGACTAGCAGGACCAAGCAAAACAAGGTGGCTGTCTCAGCCTGTAGATGATGTTTGCAGCTCGGAAGGTGAAGAGACAGTCTCTGCCTTTCTTCGTCGTGGCCTCTGTGCATCACACATATGGGTGCTGCGCCTGCGCAGTGCCTAGGCCGGAAGATTAAAAAGCTAACGGTTCTTTGGCGGGAAAACTCCGCTCCCCTCCCCCTTCGTGGTATAAATAGAGCGGAGTGTCCGCCGTTCACTGTGCCTCGTGCCTGTTAACGTCCTCGCTAAGATATCTCAAGAGAATGCCACAGGAATAATAATAACTCCATGGTGGCCGAGACAGCCGTGGTTCGCCACCCTTCTTCGTCTATCCAAAGGGACGTTTCTTTGCCTCCCGTCTATTCCTCAGCTATTAACGCAGCAAAACAGAGCGATCCGACATCCAGATCTGACTGCCTTGAGGTTGACAGCATGGTGGATCACTTGAGTCATTCTGCTGCGTCGGTACTGACGACATCCAAACCTCTACCGGAATGTATTCACTCCACTGTACCGACGGCCCCTAGGTCGGTTTCAACGACAACTGCTTCGCTACCGGTGACTGTTGACCAGGAAATTCAGGTAATTCTCACATCTGCTCTGAGACTGTCCACTTGTCGCTCTTATGCGGCTAAATGGAAGAAATTTTCCTCCTTTGCGGAATGCCATTCTTTTTCTCCTGGAATGGCCTCAATTGACAATATTTACAATTTCTCTTGGAACTTTATCATTTGGGACTGAAACCGTCATCCATTAAAGTTTATGTAGCCGCTATTTCACACTATTGTGGTGCGCTTCAAGGGATTTCAGTTTTCTGTCAACCTCTACTTCGACGTTTCCTTCGGGGGTTACAGAACCTACACCCTTCTGTTTGCCCGCCTATGCCAACCTGGAGCCTTTCGGTCGTACTCCAAGCGCTTACCAAATCTCCGTTTGAGCCACTGGCGACTGTCAACCTACGCCTGGTGTCCTGAAAAACAGCTTTCCTCATAGCGGTGACATCAGCTCGGAGAGCAAGCAAACTTTCTGCTCTCCGCATAGACCTTCCATATCTTAAATTCCATAAGGAAAAGGTCGTTCTTCGTATAGAGTCTTCCTTTCTTCCTTAAGTGGCTAGACCATTCCACTTGAGTCGAGATATCGTTCTGCCAGCCTTCTTTCCAGCGCCGTCGAATCCAATAGAGCGGGCTCTACATACCCTTGATGTTCGCCGCTGCCTGGCTTTCTATCGCTCCCGTACGGAATCCCTCCATCATACAAACAGACTCTTTGTTAAGTACTCCGAACATGACAAAGGACTTCCAGTCAGTCGCACTGGATCACCCAGGCTATTGTCCTGGCCTATCAACTATCAAAAATAGACTTACCTGTTACCCCCAGGGGTCACTCCACACGAGCTGTTGTGACTTAGTCCGCCTTTGCCGCTGGGGTCCCGCTCCAAGATATCTGTAAAGCTGCAACGTGGTCAGGGCCATGCACTTTCGCCAAGCACTATCGGGCTTGATGTGTGTGCCAGGCAGGACTGCTCTTTCGGCAGAGCTGTTCTTTCGTCCATTCTTGGCTGACGACACCTCCCTCCTCTGAGTTGGGTAAGCTTGCTAATCACCCATATGTGTGATGCACAGAGGCCACAACGAAGAAAAGCAGGTTGCTTTCCTGTAACTGATGTTCTTCGAGTGGCCATCTGTGCAGTCACACAACCCAGCCACCGGCCCCACTCGGTGTCCATCATTACATACTGCCTCGGTACCACGCTGTAATTTGCATCGGTACCGATGGTATATGCTGGCGAGTGGATATTGTTCTCGGTACCGTACTATACTTTGCATCGGTACCGTTGGGGCTCAATGCCATTTGCAACTAATTTTATTCTTAACCTGTAGAGGGTGAACGTTCGGTCTTCAAGACTGAACAAAATGGCGGACACTCCACTCTATTTATACCACGAAGGGGGAGGGGAGCGGAGTTTTCCCGCCAAAAACTGTTAGCTTTTTAATCTTCCGGCCTAGGCACTGCGCAGGCGCAGCACCCATATGTGTGACTGC